CACTCACTCACTCACTCACTCACTCACTCACTCACTCACTCACTCACGATAGTCTCACCAGTTTTTGTAACATTAAGGTGTTCTTTCTTGAGGACTGAAGCAGACACCCGCTTGACTTCCGTGACTCTCCTTTTTGGCTTGATATCTGAAATGAAAACAAAGGAAATTGGTTATCAGTTTCATTAAAGATTTATATTAACAAAGTTATACATTGGAGTCTATTTGCAACTTTTTAAACTTGCTCTAGTGTTCCAGAAACAGAGAAAAAAATTAATAGATTGCTCCTCTTGAACCCTAGGTTCAACTTATAGTGAGCTTCTGTGCTGGAAAGGTTTCCTTCCTTAGATAGATAACTTTTACTACTGTAATTGGCTTTTGTATGTATGTGAATGTTTCTGTACGGTGCCCTGAGATGACTTTTGATGTGATCTGATGCTATATGAATAAACTGAATTGAATTGAATTAACTGAAAGGAATGAATAAAGTAATGATAGTCATGTCTGAAATGACCTTCTGCAAAATGGCTGAACTCACTTTTAGGGAAAGGGTCAGGCACTTGGCTCCTTGTAAAGAGATAAGAGTAGATTTGCTGCTCCTTAGCATCAAGGAGCCAGTTAAGAGTGGTTTTTGACACCTAGTAAGCACACCTTTCTGGACACCTTCCAAGGGAGCTGCTTCAGACCTGTCCTTCTAGGACCTTGGGGCAGACTCAGGAATCACTTATGAGAATAAATCTCACAGCTGTCTACAGTATATGTCCCAACGATTGGGCTGAAGGAAGTAGCTGAGAAGAGGGAGGTCTGGGGATCTCTCATGACCTGGTCTCAGATTAAATATGTAGACTGTCACCCAGGCCACATCTTTCATCAAGAGAGGCAGTTTTGTATATGTCAAAAATAAAGTGCCAGACGTTTTGGTTGGTTGGCGTCTCATCAACCATCGTCATGAGGTAAACTGATCACCAACTTTGGTCCTTTTTTTGATTAAAACTACTGCAGCACGTTTTAGTTTACTTTCTACATGGCCTTTGAAAATGTGTATGCTAACACACCAAAACAAATATTTATATAGTGATCTTGACAAAAATTAACATTGCCACTGGAAGCTTATAATTTGTTTTAGCCTTTGTCACTTTGTGTCAACAGGCAGCTTACCTTTCTTTGCAACACTCATCTTCTCAGGTTCTTTGTCTTCCTTGGGAGCCACTCTGGTTTCTTTTTCTTTTTTCAGGTGTAGGGGAGTAGGAGTTGTTTTCTTTTCCACTTTGGGAATCTTCTTTTCCATTTCCTGAGAAGATATTATTGTTTTTTCTTTTCTAATCAGCTTTTTTGGTTCTGCTTTTATTGCTGGCTTCTTTGGTTCTTTTTGTTCTTTTGTAGCCAGTTCTTGCACTTCTTCTTTTATAGACTTCTTTGCCACTGCCTTTTCTTTGGAAGTCTTATCTTGTTCTTCTTCCTCTTTTGAGACCTCAGTTAGTAACTTTTTAACTTGATGAATCATTTTATGTTCATGCTTTTTTTCTATAGAAAGTATATTTTCTTCTTTCCTTTCTTTGGGATGCTTATCTAATTCTTTCTTTGCTGTAACAACTTTATGAACTATTTCTTCTTTTGGATGTTTCTTTACATCTAGTTCTTCTATCTGGGGTTTCTTTTCCTCTTTCTCTTCTTTGGGATGTTTTTCTTCTTTCACCTCTTTCTGTGGTTTTGTTTCTGCTTTTACTTCTTTGGGATATTTTTCTTCTTTCACCTCTTTCTCGGGTTTCTTTTCCTCTTTGGGGTGTTTTTCTTCTTTCACCTCTTTCT